GAAGAAATGCATTTGAGACATCTGAAATATATATTCAGTCAAGCATATAAACGTGTTCTAGCTATTTCTTTCTAGTACAATTATATTTTTGGGTTCCTGAAATTAATTTTTTGTAAAAATGTAATTTAGGATATCTATATGAACATTTATGGCTAGTAGGGACGTAGTTTTGACGAGGAAGAATCTTATTTTAAAGATAAACAGGACAGCGCTTCTACTAAATGTCAAAGCGGCTTGCCATAGGCCAGCCTTCACACCCAGCCGGAGCAGCTTGCTCCCAACTGGACCGAACCCAGCCACCACAGAACCCATCAGAATTTATTTTTTCCACCTGTAAAATGTTTTGAAAGATGAACTTCTTGCGAACATGTTTATCAAAGAACATTTATCAGCGATGATTAAAACAGCGAGAATTAATAAATCCACTCAGACTCTGACTGCTTCATATTGGTCCTCGTTAAAGGATAAAAACTCCATCAGTAAGATGAATAAATATTGACTCGCTATGAAAAATGACTTCCTGACTAAACTGAGGAATTCGCCGTCGCCTGCTATCTTAGCGATTATTTTACGCTATAAACAATAAAATGCTGGAACTTTTTATTCATGTATTTTATTTTGTAAATGTCAGCAAATGTGAAACTATAAGTATTTGTTTTCTAGTTCACCTTTAAGCTGAGTAGAAGATCCAAACATCAGTTTGTCCTTCAGCTGAAGAACACATCAGTTTGCAAACTGAAGGTTTTGATCGGCCTAGTCAAAGTCTGGATTAAGTCTTAAACTACTTTTAAATGAAGTTCTATTTAGAAAATCCGTCTCTCTAGGATGAAGGTTGGAAGAACCGAGTCCAGATCTTCCTGCTGCCATCAGCAGACGTCATCAAACCTGCTTCTTGTTTGACAGGGAGAAAACAGAAGCTGGACCAATCGGTGTCTCCTGTCGCAGCGACACGTCAAATCCTCGACTGATTAATTTCCAAGCAGATGGAGGTTCTGCAAAGAGGTGAGCTCCTTCCAAACGCTTTCAATCCATAAACGGTCAAACGTAAAAGCTTTGAACATCCTGAAGTTCTGCTGGAAGCAGAAAGATTGGTCAGAATCTATGCGTTACAACTCTATGTTCCTGTATAGGTGGATCTCTTTCTCTAAGTTTGCAGCAAATAAAGTTTATAAAGTGACCTCACAAGAACAAATTAAAATTTAAAACCCGATAGAAGGAAAATCCTTTTTCAGATCGTTTTTATTTCATCGCTTAGATTCATTTGGTGTTTTTAGGGGAAATAAAAATGAATATTTCTACAGCTTTAGAATAAAAACTGGTTCCCACTTAAAAAAAAAAAGTTGTTTATCAGCCGTTAAAGAAGCTTTAAATGAATCTGCAGACTTTAGAGCAGCTGCATCAACGTTTGTCCTCAGTAGATGCAGAAGTAGCTGCAAAGTACCGAGAGATTCGTCGTTTGAAAGAAAAACACAAATTAAAAAAAAACAAATTTTTTAATTTAAAATCTGAATGCAAAAGTTCAACCCATAGTTCTATACACTGCTATTTAAAAAAAAAAGTATAAAAAGAATATTAGGTTGAGCTTTTCCTGTTTCCTGACAAGCGGAGCCGATGATGCCACATAAGGTTTAAGAGTTTTTCCTTCCTTTCCCTGATGGAAGACAAAGTGAGGAACGATACGAGTTGAAGTGGATGTTTTGTTTAGAGGTTATTCTTTTTAAATCTCTTATTACTGATTAATGTTCTTTACATGTCTGGTTCCTCTGAAGGGAAGATTTCTGATTGTCTGTCTGAGGAAACGTTTTTCTACTGGTCAGCTTGGACTGTGATGGAATAAAATACCATTCATAAAACTCGACCCTAATGATGGGTCCATTAGTAGCGATGCATGGAGCCCATAGAACCAAACACTGTGACCGATCCAGGAGCCGTTTCTAACTGACTGACTCACTAAACTGGGTTTAAAATCGTATCTGTCAACATGATGCATCTGCTAAAAAAAAAATAAAAATTTAAAAAATGTCTCATCTTTTGCAGTTTTTCAGTAAAATGATCCAGAATTTTGGAGCCTAAAAGGAATAGAAACGATACAGCCGTTCCGTTTTTATTTTAATTTCATCACTCAACTTATCTGAATTAAAGTTAATTTCTTTATTTAAGGTTTTTACTGTACTTATCGTTTAAAAAAAAAAAAAAAATTAAATCCTAGTCCACAAGGATCCTGAATCACATTTTCCCCTAAAAATATGTTTACATTATTTATTGGCTGCATCTAAAAATATCAAAGATATTTTCAGTTTGAAAATAGATATGAAATAATAGAATATAACCTATAATAACTGAAATGGTATAATTGTAGTAGGTCATCAAATCAATTCAGTTCAGTCTGTCCAATCAGCTGCCTGTAGTGCCTTTAAATGTCCAGCAGGTGTCAGTATTCTGAGACAGAATCAACGCAGCTTCAAGATGCCTCATTAATCATCACTGCTCTAATCAGTGGTGGCTGACCAATAGGGTGCCGCCCCGCCCACCCTGATTAAGACATAAAAAATAAATAAAAATGTTTTAATTTGAAATATTTCGAAATATATGATGATGTACTTTTTGAAGTGTTTTTAAACTGCAGTATCTATACTTCTACTGAAGTAACAAACATGTGAACTTTTAACACCACTGGTACATGGACCATATAGTGACGCTTTAAAGTATAATATTGTTTCCTCAAATGATCTTAAAACATAATTTTGCTGAACAATGGCAACAGAAAAGAGAACTTTTAACCTTCAATAGAGCGCTCCATAGAAAGCTACTGTTGTGCTTTCTCCAGCGCCGTGCAGCCATGTCGTCACGCCGTCAAAACCCCGCCCACTTTGCATCCAGAAATTCAAAACGCATCTGAGTTCTGATTGGTCTGCCAGTTCTGGGGCATTGATGGAGGCTAGACCAAACTCGAAGGCAAAAATGATTTTGGCCGCTGGTGGGTGGGGCTAGTTTACCAGGCTAGCTGTGGACAGGAGCAACTAAAAAGGAGCCAAGGGGAAAAAAAGGGACACTAGAGGGCAGCAGAGAGTAACAAGGGAAAACAAGATCTAACTGAAATAAAGCTAAAAGAAATAAAATGAATGACTTCAACTAAAACTAGAAAATAAAATACAGAAAAGGGATTAGAGGGATTGCTGAAAGAACAATAGATTAAAACTAAGAACTCAAAAATTATATAAATCTTGACAAACAGAATAACATGAAATAAAACAGAACTGGGAACCAAAAGGTCGAGAAAAGCAGAATCATGAGTTTTAACTGTTTCATACATATAAAATACACTTAAAAGCAGTTTTAAGTTTAATTTTAATGATTTTTTTTTTCTTTTCAATAAGTTTTTGTTCTAAAAGAGGCTCATAAAGTGTGAAATTGTGTTTTTTTCAGTCAGTTTTCTAGTTTTAGCTAAATTTGATAATGATTTTATTATTGACTGAAACATGCATGACCTCACATAGTTTTCCCTAATTAAGCAGCTGTTTCACACTTAGCTGAGAGAGAAAGTAGGAAGTATTTTATCTGTAATCTCTAATTGTCTCTAACAAATCGGTAGAAATGAAGAGTCTTGGATATTATGAGGACCTTCCAGTCCATCTAGGCCAAAATTCAGCTTAAACAGGGACTGCAGGGATCTGCAAACACCTCTAGATCCATGACTAAAGGAAATGTTGACTGACCACCAAGCAGAACTTTCTGAAACCTTGGAACACCAGCTAATTCATCCTGGTTCCTCCACAGAGCGGACCCAGAGGTTCCCAGTGTTTCGTCTGCCCAGCCGCAGCAAACCCAGCTGGACTCCATATTCATGGTCTGTACCTAAACAACTAAAGCTGTTCCTGCAGACCAGAGGGCCTTGGATCCGTCCAACATGGATCTGATATTGGGCTCCAGAATCTCAGTCTTCCTTTGTTTGGTTTGTTTTTTCAGGAGCTTGAAGAAAACGTGATTGGTTTCGTTAAGGATGAACTGAATAAGTTTAAAAAGTCCCTGAGTCCAGATAACCCTGAAGGCTTAGCGAGTCAGTGGAAGGGTGACGATGAGGAGCAGAGGAGGAGCAGCAGAGAGCAATTTCTAAACATCGCTGTCAACTTTCTGAGGAACATGAAGCAGGAGAATCTGGCTGATCGCCTGCACAACAGTAAGCCACCCAATACAGTCTATTAAAGGCATCCCTGAAGTCGGTCCTCGGATGCCACCGTCCTGCAGGTTTTAGAGGTTTTCCTACTTTAGCACAACTGGCAGCTTTTAATTAAACTCATCTGTGCTGGAGCAGGAAACCACGCCTATGACATATTTTAGCAATGAGCTCTAAAAGAAATGGTGACCCAAAGTCTTTAAACTCGGCATTGATTTTGTTTTTATCCAACAAAGATCTTCTTTCTCTGCGTGGTATGAGAGGAGAGGGTAAGTGAATAGAATTATGCGTTAAATGGCCTCGAAAAAAGGAGCAACTGATGGGTGTTCTTTCCGAACAGGCAAATAACTCTGCTAACTTGGTGCGACCCGGAAACCTCAGGGGTTAAATTGAGTTAAAGAGGCTGCAGATCACAGTACATAAGAACCCAACAACACGACTGAAGAGGAAGGTTATTTTCAGTGTACGGAAATATGGCCTCTGTCGTCATCTGTCGACAGTTTCTAACACGTTCCTTAGGGAGGTGGGGGACATTGAGCCTGAGTTGACCATGTTCCGTGCCTCTATTGTTGAGGCAGCTAGTCGGAGCTGCGGCCACAAGGTTGTCGATGCATGTCACAAGAGCAACCCTCTAAAACGCTGGTGGACACCAGCGGTGAGGGAAGCTGTCAAGCTTAAGAAGGAGTCCTATCGGGCTTTATTTGCCTGTGGGACTCCAGAAGCAGCTGATATGTACCGGCAGTCAAAGCGGCAGGTGGCTCAACTGGTGGCTTAGGCAAAAACTCAGGCATTGGAAGAGTTCTGAGAGGCCATGGAGAAAGACTTCCATACGGCTTTTAAGCACATTTGGTCCACAATCCAGCGTCTCAGGAGGGGGAAGCAGTGCAGTACCTACACTGGTAATAGTGGAGGCGGAGTTCTGCTGACCTCGACTCGGGACGTTGAATGTCGGTACCTAAAAGACATCTTTAATTCCATCAACACGTCTTCCATTGAGGAAGCAGAGCTGTGTTGGTTAACGTGACTGTGCAACATTGCGTGGACATCGGTGGAAGTTCCCTTGGATTGGCAGACTGGGTTGGTGGTCCTCCTATTTAAAAAGGGGGACCGAAGGTTGTGTTCCAACTACAGAGGAATCACACTCTAGCCTCCTTGGTAAGGTCTTTTCTGAGGATCTGGATACTCTGGGAGTATGGAGTACCGGTCCTTTTAATAAGGAGTGTTGGGTCTCTGTATGACCGGTGTCAGACCCTGGTCTGCATTGCCGGCAGTAAGTTGAACTGGTTTTCCAGTGAGAGTTGGACTCCACCAAGGTTGCCTTTTATCACTGATTTCTAGACGCAGCCAATGTGTTGAGGGAATCCATTTTGGTGGCTTTAGGATGGCGTCTCTGCTATTTGCAGAAGATGTGGTTCTATTGGCTTCATCAAAGCGTGATCTCCAGCTTTTACTGGAGCAGTTCAAAGCCGAGTGTGAAGCGACCGGGATGAGGATCAGTGCCTCCAAATCAGACACCCTGGTCTGGAAAAGGGAACAGGGTAAAGTACATTCTCCGGGTTGGAGGATGTATTGCCCCTAGTGGAGGAATTTAAGTATCTTGGGGTATTGTTCCCAAAAAAGGGGAAGATGGAGCGGGAGATTGACAGGCGGATTTTTGCAGCATCTACTGTGAAGTGCGCTGTACCGGGCTGTTGTAGTGAGGGGAGAACTGAGCCAAAACACAAAGCTCTTGATCTACGTTTCTACCCTTATCTATGGTCAAGAGCTTTGGGTCATGACCGAAAGAATGAGAAATGAGTTTTCTCCGTAGTGTGTCTGGGCTCTCCCTTAGATAAAGGATGCAGAGCTCAGTCATCCAGGGAGGACTAGGAGTAGAGCCGCTGCTCCTCCAGGAGGAGCCAGTTGAGGTTCCTCCGGCATCTGGTTAGGATGCCTCCTGGACGCCTCCCTGGTGAGATGTTCTGGCACGTCCTACCATGAGGAGGACCAGAGGGAGACCCAGGACACGCTGGAGGGACTGTTTCTCTGTCACTGTGGTGTCCTGAACACCCAACCCCCCATCCCCCCACAGAATGGTTGAAAGTCACAGGAAATACACCCGTTAATTAAACTTCAAGTTAAGAAGGGAACCTTGGAACCAGAAAGTTCAATGTAATGTTTTTAGCCATAGCAGGTAATCTTCTTCTAACTAGAGAAGAACTAACTGCTCTTATTTTTCATTGTAGGTTCTCCTGTCAATTGCCAGAGTAATCTAAAGACAAATGTAAAGAATAAGTTTCAGCACATATTTGAGGGAATTGCTAAAGCAGGGAGTCCAAGCCTTCTGAACCAGATCTACACAGAGCTCTACATCACAGAGGGAG